TTGACAGTCTAACTTTGTCATCCAGGCTGGAGTACAGTGGTGTCATCTCCACTCACCGAAGCCTCAACTTCCCTGGCTGAAGGGGTCCATCCACCTCAGCCTCCCACCTGGCTGGGACTACTGGCACGCACCAACACAACTGGCTAATTTTTTGTATTAGTATAGAGATGGGGTTTCACCATGTTGGCCAGGGTGGTCTGGAAATCCTGGCCTCAAGTGACCCGCCCACCTCAGCCTCCCAAAGTGCTGGGATTACAGGTGTGAGCCACCAAGCTCGGGCTTCAAATCTATTCTGAACACAAACATATAGATAATTTCCCTAAGCCCCTAATTTAGCTATTTTATAAAGTTTGAGGGTTTGTTTTTCTTTTTTAAGGAAAATTTCTCGTAGCGCTAAAATCTCTCAAAAATGCAGGTTAGGGAGAGGGTGTGATAGCTCACACCTGTAATCCCAGCACTTTGGGAAGCTGAGGTGGGGGAATCACTTGAGCTAAGGAGTTCCAGGCTGCAGTGAGCCGTGATTTCGCCACCACACTCCAGCCTGGGTGATAGAGTAAGATCTTGCCTCTAAAAAATAAATTTTAAAAAAGGCTGGGCACAGTGGCTCACGCCTGTAATTCCTGCACTTTGGGAGGCCAAGACCGGTGGGTCACCTGAGATAAGGAGATACAGACCCTATATGTAAAAGGAACTCAAATTTATTTGAGTTAAAGTGAAAAAATAAATTTTCTATGGAATCAGTAAGAAGCCCTCCATAAACTCAGACTACAAGCTGTCACAATTGTTTGAGATCACCCAGCCATGAAACCCAAGCCTTCTCTCTCAGCTCTTCTCCCACCTCCACCTCCAAAAATTACTCTGCCCAGGCCCAGTGCAGTGGCCTACACCTGAAATCACAGCACTTTGGAAGGCCAAGGCAAGTGGATCACCTGAGGTCAGGAGTTCAAGACCAGCCTGGCCAACGTGGTGAAACCCTGTCTACTAAAAATAGAAATTAGCCTGAAGTGGTGGCACACACCTGTAGTTCCAGCTACTGAGGAGGCTGAGGCATGAGAATACTTTGAACCTGGGAGGCAGAGGTTGCAGTAAGCTGAGATCACACCATTGCATTCCAGCCTGAGTGACAGAGTGAGACTGTGCCTGAAAAATAAATAAATAAATAAATAAATTACTCTGCCCAAAGAACACCAGTCCTCCTCGCACTTACTTTGTGTTCTTCGCTGCCATTGCTCCTCGTTAAACCACACAGAGGTGTCCCCATGAAGAAATGGTTCTCCACAGGCTCCGCAGAGGATGCCAAAGCTGTCCAAAGCCATGC